CCTTCAGAATGATATCTGGATTACAGGTTACATCTAAGAAGCCCAGACTTAAACAGTTTTTCAAAGGTGCCTAACTGCTTTGTCAGAGAGAGATGCTGTTCCCATCAGTTCCCACAAAGGTCCCAGGACACAGCACTTTGACCTGGTAGCTACTCTGAATTCTTACTGTGCTTTTGCTCTAAATCCCAACAGTAGTTTCATAGCTCAGTAAGAGACCCCCAGCAGCCAACCCTAACAGCCCTGGTGCAATGCATACCACAGGGTTGTCATTAGGGAAATATTTTAATCCTTCACCATAAGAGGGTTAAAGATGACAATTACATAACCGAGAATGGGTATAGGTAATTCGAACAGCATACACAGATTCATAAAAAGCCTTCTTAACATGAACTGACTATCACAGCATTTCTCTGGAAACAACAGGATAAAGCTTATTCACTTCTCATTCCAAGGAGCCCCTCTAGGGATTAGAATACAATGACATTCCAATTATAGCAGGAGACATCAGTGCAAATTTACAATTCTGACTTGCTAATGCTGTGGCTAAGCACATACAATTATGTGGATTTTCATTCTGGTGTTTCAATGCTCCTTCAAAAACTGTGCTCTATGACAGCAACATGCATTTGCCAGAGGCATCCTGAGTGGAACGTTTGATATGATCCCTTCACACAAGATAGTGAAGTGCCTGGGCACAGCTGGCATTGAAAAATTTGTATTAAGCTTTCTATTATGCCAAATATTTTACTAATAGCAAGAAAGAGAGATATTAGTGATTTTAAAACTCTTCTATGTTCAAAGACCTTCATCAGCTAAATGCATCTTTGAGGTCAGCCTCCATAGAGGAAAAACAGTTATTTGGTTTATTATATAATGATTCTTTTAAGAAGTACTAACAGGAAACTGAGAGAGAGCCTCCTACATCGATTAACTACATAAAAATTTCCCACACACATTACATGGGACCTCAGCTTTTAAAAATGAGACTGGACAGAAGAGGGGAGAATGGATCTAATCTATCCTGAAGAAAATTAGACTGTGTATTAGGACTTGAACAGTTGCTGTATACTACTCACAAATAAGGCACACCCAGGTATATTTCATTGCTACATATTAGAAGGGTCCCAATCTACACAAAAGAAAGTGACCCTGAATTTTAACACTCTTGTCACAACTTTTGTTCCTATGTTTTCTGTTTACTACTCTGAAAAACCCTAGGTTTGGAGTGTGTTTTTCAAAGAAGAAAAAGTAAAAACACTACTAATGCCACACTTCCTGATGCATCCTTCCTCCTACTGGTCTCGTGATAACTTTGAGTCATCTGTCTGTGCCCTGACAGCAAGCATAAAAAATCGTGCCATTAAGTGCAATGAATTTCAGATATCTAAACTTGCCTACACAGGAAAAAAACATCCAAAACACAGGCATGATTACTGCCTAAGAGTTGTCCACATTTTTACCAAATGTTAACTATGAATATAAATTGTTAGTCACCGCATACAAAATTTCCTAACTGCCATTTAATGGCTAATTACCACTGAAGTAGCATGGTAAGAGATTTCCCAAAATAATTTGACTCTTTCAAAAGGTAGAGCAAAATGTGTCTAAGACAGAAAATACCACAGAACTGACATTACTTGAGCCTCCAAACTGCCAAAGTTAACACGGTAAAGAAACAGTGCACGTTTTTTAATATCTCATACAACTCTCTTCAACAATAATTCACATGTAATTTAAGAAAAAAAATCCAATCATATCTGTAGTTCTTTAGCAGAAGCTATACTAGAGACTTCACTATAGTGAAAATGAACTGAAAATACAGCGAGTCTTTCACAAATGAGGTAGATTACTGCATATAACTTGGCACAAAAAGTTAATTCATAAGCTTCAAACTTGTAAAAGGAAGCATATTACCCATGTTTACTAGTATACAGAGATGTCTTAAATTTTAATTTCGTCCACAGAAATGGAGAGGCATCGAAACAGGGTGGTTTATAGACTTCCTGTGATGACACACCCTTAACAGGTATGTTTGCAGCCAGCCCTTCATCTTTCAACAGCTGACCAACACAGGCTCTTGATTTCATGTTTTAAAAACCACTCTGTAACTCATCACTGGTTGCCAAAGTCATCACATACCTAAAATAAACCTGAAACTCCGCTTTTCAGTTAACTTGCTGTCTTGTATAGTCAAATTTTCAGACAATGCAATTACAAACAACAAGAAGAAGATCAAAACTGCATTCAGCAGATTTTGGAAAAAATCCTAAAATTTACAGCTGTTTAAATTACACTTTGATGAATCCCAAAAATCCAGTGGGATTGACCATTGTCTTTAGTAGAAGACAACCTGCAGGCATATCTAAATTGTCTTTTGATTTGCTACAACATTAGAAAACAGACATTAACTTGGAACTGGCAAAATCAGCATGAAAAATCTAACGGACTAATACAGGAGTTGGTGGTTGTGAGGAAAACAAAGTTTCCTGGTCTTCAGCTGATACTGCCAAAATGACAAATTTAAGTATTAACGACAGTATCTCAGATGTATTTTGGAGTTCAAGCCGTCCACCAAAGTGTTTACTGGCAACAATGGGAAAGCTAATCCTGATTTTCAATCAGATAGTTTATTCATTGTTCTAACTAAACATACTTGGACTTATGTTTGGGCTTAATACTGCTAAAAAGCAATACAGATTCTCTGCCAGTAAAATAAGGTACCAGAAAAACACTATGACCACTTCTCTCCCTGTAACACCCAGTGGCATACACAAGAAGCCAATGTGTAGGCTTGTGTAGGTAGCACTGACAAATATTAATTAGGTATTTTACTTAGAGAGTCTCTTCACTGGGTAGCAAAATAAATCTCCTGTGAGGAAAACTGTGATTTTCCACAGAAGGTTTTGTTGTCAGGTCCCAGTGACAATGCTTAATTAACATCCATTTATACCCCCACGTTACTGACCTTTCACTGGACTTTGTTAACTACTGACACAAATACGACCTCTGTGTTCTTTTTTAACCTTTTAAAAGTAGCTTACAACAGAAGGAGCTGCAAAAACATCCTACGATTTTCTTCAAAAGCTTTAAAATCAAAAAAAGACTATGAAATTACAAGACAAATCTTCTTAAAATTTTTCCTTAATCTTCTTTTCAGGCAGGCCAAGATTACAACAGTTATAAAGTGTTCTGCCGTGCGTTTCCTCATCATTTCTTACTTGGTTATCTTGACCTTGTTTATCTGTCCATCTGCACACACCTTTGGCAGCAACCCTACAGCAATCCTACTCACCAAAAGAGACAGAACACTCTTCATTAGAAGAATTCATCACAAGAGGGAATTGCCCTTCCACCCTCCCACCTTCTGTATTGGACAGAGAGGCTGGTTTTCTTGCTCCTGCCCCTGCCTTGCCACAACTTGGCATGGCAGGAGTTAGCTAGTGGAATCAGAGGAGGGAAGTCCTCAGATGGCAATACTGAAAATACCCATGAGGATGTAAGGAGAGCCATGCCTTACATGCACATCGTGTGCAACTGCTTATGGGATGTGCTTCTACGCACGGGAAAAAAACACAGGCATAGGTGTATATACATACAAAGGTACGTGCCAGTGTACAGGCACAGGTTCATGCTAAAATACATCTATGTATGTGTATATATATATATATGTACAAACGCGCTGTACCAAAACGTAGCCGTGTATCTGTGCACACTGAAGGACAGTGTTCAAGGCCAGGCGGGACAAGGCTCCGAGCCTTCAACTGAAGGTGTCCCTGCCTACGGCGGGGGGCTGGAACTGGATGATCTTCAAGGTCCCTTCCAACCGCCCCCATTCTGGGGTTCTACGACACACACACATCTCCCAGGGGCGCACACGCAGTGCCCACGCCAGCCGTGTCCCCACACACCCACACACGCCTGTGCACAGGTGCCGTCACACGGCCCCCCCCCCCGCGGCTCCCGCCCCTCCCGAGGCGGCGGCCGGGCCGCGCAGCGCCCAGGCGGCTCCGGCCCCTGCCGAGTGCCCCGGGGCGGGCACTCACCGTCCCGATGCAGTCGGTGAGGCTGGGCGGGGGCGCCTTCGGCTTCGCCTTGCCGAAGAAGCGGTTCATGGCGGCGGTGCCTCGGAGTCGCTCCCGGCCCCGGCAGCGGCAGCAGCGGCGGCAACAGCGTTCCCACCGACCCGGAACCTCACGGCCGGCTCCACCCCGCGGAAGAAGGGCCGCGGGAAGCAGGAAGCGCTCTCCCGGCGGCGCATCCCTGAGCTCCCGCCCCCCTCCGCTGGGTGCCGGTGGCCCTCGGGGCCGCACGGAAGCACGGCTGTTCCGCACACGGAGACGCTTTTCTCCCTCAGCGCACCCCGTGGAACGAACGGCTGGGCTTGCACCGCCTGCTCGAAGTGTAGAATCATCCCCGTAAGGTCATTTGATCTGATCTGTTACAAACGCCATGAAAACAGTCACAAAAGTGACTGTCCCCCTACGCTCGGCACTGGGGAGGCCACACGTCAAGTTCTGCGTCCAGTTCTGGGCCCTTCAGTTTAGGAAGGACATTGAGGTGCTGGAGCAGGTCCAGAGAAGGGCAACAGAACTGATAAAGGATCTGGAGTGCATGTCCTATGAGGAACAGCTGAGGGAGCTGGGGGTTTTTAAACTGGAGAAAAGGAAGCTCAGAGGAGACGTTGTCACTCTCTTCAACCCCCTTAAAGGAGGTTGTAGCCAGTGGGGGTCAGCCTCTTCTCCCAGGCAACTAGTGACTGGACAACAGGACATAGTCTTAAGCTACACTCGGGGAGGTTTAGGGTGGACATCAGGAAGAATTTCTTCACTGAAAGCGTGATTAGACATGGGAATGGACAGCCCAGCGAGATGGTCGAGTCACTGTCCTTGGAGGTGTTTAAGAAACAACTGGATGTGGGACTTGCTGCCATGGTCTAGTTGCCGGGGTGGTGGTGGGTCATAGGTTGGACTTGATAATCTCAGAGGTCTTTTCCAACCTAATTAATTCTGTGATATCATATTTGTTTTATTTTTTTATATTAAGAACACTTTTTTTATTTTGTACAGGAGTTACTGAGGACCTAACATATCTTTAGGCTTCACCCACTGATCAAACTGGTCTGACGTAAGGAACCCCAGCTTTAGAGCAGCTTCTTTTAACGTTGTCCCCTCTTTGTGAGCAGTTTTGGCAATCTTAGCTGCTTTATCATAACCTGTAACAAAACAAAAGCAACAAGTTAGCCATTCGCAATTTCAATGATTCATTAGAGGTGAGAGAAAAGTGGGACACTTGGTCTTTGGAGAATTATTTGCCAGGCATTGCTATTACTGTTTAACTCAATTTGCAGTAAATGCACACCAAATGTTTACACTAACTCCTTATTTAAAGTGAAGGTAAATTCTGTTATCCTGATCTTAATTTACTTAGATCAAAGATTTATGGGACCTTCTCCTTTAAAAAAAAATAATCTCATAACATAATCTTTCACTTATCATTATTAGCGGTCAGTTCAGGAGAACAGGTTCGCAAATTCTCCCAATCTCCTTCTGATTCTAATCAGAGTTATTTTTCTAATGCACTGGTATGGCCACTGCAAGGAGGACACAACATCTGCAACAGTAACAGCAATTGGTGATGTTGAAGTAAATTAACTTTTGACCTGAGCCATGACTTGGTCTCCTAAACATCGTGACAATACGGATAGCATGTGAAAAATAATGTTGCCACAAAATATTTCAGTATAATGTTTTGAGAACTTTCTGAGCATCAAACCTACCTATATGTGGGTTCAGTGCTGTTACCAACATCAAAGATTCATTCATCAGTTTGTTGATCCTGTCCGTATTGGCTTGAATTCCTACTACACAGTTGTCAGTGAAAGAAACACACACATCTCCAAGAAGTCTTGCAGAGTTTAAAACATTTTTAATCTAACAAGACAAAGAAGGAAACACCAATTACTTCATTCAGATATTACTAGTTGCACATTCTGGCACATTTGTTCATAACCAGTGTCCCCCTTTCAATATCAAATTATTTAACAGGCTATTTTCCTTCCAGTATCTGAAGGTGGTCTACAGGAAAGCCAGAGAGGGACTCTTCATCAGGAATTGTAGTGATAGGACAAGGAGTATTGGGTACAAAATGAAAGAGGGGAAATTTATGTTAGATGTTAGGAGGAAATTCTTTACTGTGAAGGTGGTGAGACACTGGAACAGGTTGCCCAGGGAGGTTGTGAATGCCACAACCCTGGCAGTGTTCAAGGCCAGGTTGGATAAGGCCTTGAGCGATCTGGTCTAGTTGGAGATGTCCCTGCCCATGGCAGCACAGGTTGGGACTAGATGATCTTTAAGGTCCCTTCCAACCCCTTAACAGCAGTCCAATAAATAGTATGACCTCCTCCTTTTGCATTCCTATTTAAATGAATTTGTGAGAAGCAGAATTCCTGCGTAAAAACAAGCACAGTATGTGTAATCATTTTGTTATACCCATTCACAAATAACCAAGTAAAAAATACAAGAAGGTATTTGATTTGTTGTAATTTTCCCCCTCAGGTACCAATTACAAGAACATATCTAAAAATATAAAGGACAATAATGTCTGGCATTAGTTGTCTTCTTTGATGATCCATAACATGCCACCTCTTTTTTTTTTTTTTTTTTTTTTTTTTTGGAGAGGTGACTGTTTCTATCAAATTTATCTTCTGACAGGTACACCTCTTGGCTGTTTGATATAATTTTTTTTTCCTCTTCAAAACCAGGGGCTATATGCTTAGAATAAATATATTCAGATTGGCAGAGAAAAAATTACCCTAAGCAGACAGTAATGAAGAGATAAAAAAATGCTTTTATTGTAAAATATAAATTTTCTTTCAATCATTTCTAACAAGCATAAAAATGCAGCATCAGTCAGTATAGGCTGTGCAGAAAAATTACATGCTGCTTCTTTTGTGCCTCTTATTTTTAACAAGGCAACAAAACCTCAAAAACTTTCTTTTTATTTCTATTTAGTATCTTCTCTAAAAGTCACCTTAATTCTTTTAAAACTATCACCCCTACCTTAACCTCTATGCCATTCTTTCAACATCTTATATACAGTTCTCCACAATCTTCTGATTTGGTGCTTTTGTTTATATTCTTGTCCTCAATTTCTCCTCTGTTTAGTTTACCTTCTCAGTTTTAAGGCATAAAAAAACCAAGAAAAAAGCCCCAAACAAACCCAAAGTAGATACTCCAAAGGAAAAAATAAGAATTATGACTTCTCGTCAAACCATACAAATTTCAGTTCAAGGTGATTTGTAACACTCCACTAGCTTGACTTTTTAAAATTAAATATACAAAAGCAGCAGCATGTATCTTGGTATATCCTGCTCACACTGTAGAAGGCAGACATTATTTTAAATACTGAAGTCTAAGGCTAATCATTTACAATTTTACATGCCTCACTTGCAAAAAGTATGTAACCCTTTGGTATTCAGCAGTAGCAGAAATGAGTAACAGACAGCTGTTAAAAAAAAATAAAAATCCTTGGTTTTAGCTAAAATACCAAATTTGCTGTGGCTTTGTACAAAAATCTTGCCTCGTTTTGTGTCTCTGCTTACTTCCTTAGGCTGATGATACACATACATCATTAAGGTAGAAGCTTATTTGCATAAGATAGTTTCACGTAAAAAAGATTCTCAGCTCCCTGTCAAAATAACAAGGGCTTGCCGTACAAAATAGTAAAATTTGTTCTCACAATTTATTAGCTTCTCTGGTGCTTGTATTATTCACTGAGGGTTTTTCTGCCCACGAATTATCTGACTATACAAACAATCACTGAAAAAGTCCTAGATGTTTAAAATTTCATGAACTTACCATCATGGGCTTAAAGACATTCAGTTCAAAGTGTCCATTGCTTCCTCCTACAGTAACAGCAACATGGTTTCCCATAACTTGGGCTGCCACCATCGTTACAGCTTCACACTGGGTAGGGTTCACTTTTCCTGGTTATGAAAGGGAGAGAAAAAGGTTACCAAAGAAGGAAGGAGAAAAACCAACCAACCAACCAACCATCACCAGTCAGAAACCAACAGTTTCCTCATCTACCAAATCACATTGAATAGAAAATGATTTTTAAGAGGTAACAAGTCTTACTAACTTCTGTGCACCACAGAAGAAAAACTATTTCCATAAATGATATTAGATTGACTGCAAAGACTATTCCAGTATTTCAGCTAGGATTTTTAGAACAGCTCTGGCTGCTTTAGCAATCTACCAACACTTCAAGAGCTTGATCAACTGTGCATGAGCTAAGCAGCTGTTCATTACCATGGTTCTTAATAGTCAGGAGTATATAACCTTACTTACCAACATACAGCTGTGCAAGCAGGTATTTTTATAAATGCAAATTCTGGTATAATAGATAAGAATTGATAGAAGGATTGAATCATGGACTTACTGACATTTGTGATCACAGAATCATAGGATATACTGAGCAGGAAGTGACCCATAAGGATCATCAGGATGCTGTTTGGTAAACATTTGTTAAGAGACAGTGGTCCAAAACAAAAGAAACAGGTAATAATTCTCTCTGCTTTCTCTGTACCTGGCATGATGCTGCTTCCTGGTTCATTTTCAGGCAGGATGAGTTCTCCAAGTCCAGAGCGTGGTCCAGAACCCAGGAAACGAATATCATTAGCTATTTTCATCAGACTACAGGCCACCGTGTTCATGGCTCCACTGAGTTCAACCAAAGCATCATGGGCTGCAAGCGCTTCAAACTTATTCGGAGCAGTGACAAAAGGCAAACCTACATGGAGGAGGGGGAAGTATTAAACCAGTGAGGCACTTCCTTGCAGACATAAACCAGCTAATCAAACACATGATTAGCTTAATAAAAAATAAAAATTAGTAACACTATAACATCACCTCTCTTCTCTACAGCTTACTTTACTTAGTTCTTAAACAAAGTCAATACGAAAGACACAATAAAAGTCATTAAAATACAGAAGAATATGACATTTTAGCATCTACCAACAACAAAGGCAAAAATGTCAAGTTTTCATTCTGTTATATTGCTTTTCATCACAGTATTTTGTGAATGTCAAAAATCTTTCAGAATTTAGCCCAAACTTATGTATTTCTTCCAGTAAACCAAGTTAGATAATTCAGATTGTTAGTTGCTTTGATGGGTTCCCTCAGTTATAAAAATAGATGGTTTTGCAGCATTAAGGTAAATGCAGGCATTAAGGTAAATAAGAAGTAATCACAACGGAATTAGCTATTTAAAGGAAAAAGATGCACCTGAGTACCAGCACTGGAAGCAAACAATACACCACTCAGAACATGTGAAAGCTGATTCAGACTTAGGAGGATGCCTGCCAACAGCAAAAGCACAGCGGCAATGGAAGTAACAGCTCTGTTTATGTTAATTAAATGCCTGAAGATTTAAGCCTAGGTTCCGTAATGAAAAACATTTCTTCAGGACCTTGCCCTGGAAGGAAAGTCAAGCAGAATGCTATTAGTGGGAACAGATATCATTAGGGACTGACTGTGGGCTGGACTTCTGCCCCACAGAACTACTGATCTGAGCTTTCATCACCCATTCAAAGAAGAGCAGCATAACCTCCCTAATTTCTTGTGTTTGGCAGCTCCTGACAAACAACACCAAATCCCACCCAATCTGCATGAGCTTCTGAATTGCACAGCTGCCTTCTCAGTTGCAGAGATCCAACCAAACTTTTCCTCTTGTCCTGGCCAATAAACATCCTCTATAAGAACATACGGATCTTCAAGAGTCTGCCCTACTCGTTTTAAACTCGTACAGCCTGCCATTAGGACACCTAAAGAGCACCAAGATGGAGAGCTTCATAACACCACCAAAACATGCCCTGTACTGCTCCTAGCAGCTGTTGGTTACAAGAAGTTACTTCTTCTCTCTCAGGGTACAAGAAAGTATTGACCCTCTGCAAGACAGTGAATAATAGGTCCATTAAAAACAAAATACTGTTGATAAGCAATTTTAGATTTTACAGCAAATGTAAATGACGGATGTGCATGTTTATTTTGGGGGCATTTTAAAACCTTATATTGTGACACAAGATCTGGTTTACAGATCAAAAAACTCAATATCATTGTAAATTAAGTTTTAAGATCTATCAGACAGCATTGAAAGAATTAGAAAGCTAACCTTTACTCTTTCACATGAAAAAACCAGAGTGGCTTTGGGAGCTTTTTTTCCCTTCTTTTGTGCTGAGTCACTATAAATTAAGAAAGCCAGAGGAGCAAAGATCAAGACAGAAGCATTATAGTTGGGCTAATAATAGAAGTCTGAAACTGTATCCATATTCAATGAACCTTGCTCAGAAAAACACCATAATTTCAGTCACTTTCAATCCACTGAGTAAAATTACAAAAATACACTGCAAGAAAAATCTGAAGTAGAAGGCATATAACAAATAGCATTAACAGAAAGTGTCATGTTAAAATAAAACTACAATTTGAGCTTATCAGAGGTATGGAAACAGAAAGATTTAGTTTGAATTTGACTGTGTGTTACACATACCGCTTTACTGGTAACTCCAGAATATCATTCCTCACCTGTCAGTTCAGCCACTTTAGCAGCAACTTTCTCAGCAAAGCCAATTCTTGTGTTTAATCCTGTGCCAACTGCAGTCCCACCAGCTGCCAGCTGATATACTCTTGGCATGGTTGATTCAATCCTAGCCACACCATATTTAATTTGTTGCACATAACCACTAAATTCCTTTGAAAGAAAGGAGGACAAGATAAAGGAACAAAGACAATAACCAAGAATAAACACCTAGAATCATTTAGATTTTTTACATGATTTCACTTATTTTTTAAAAAACATGCAAGCACTGAATTTTACCCAACTGCTACATCTTAGCATGTTGTCAGTAAAAGTATGGAAATATTAGATGACTGTTCCCACACAACAAACAATTATACATAAAACCAATCTGAATACATAAAATAAAATTATACATAATGCCTTTTATCTCAGGCGTGTACTTAGTAGGATCTGAATCCACATTAAAACAGCTCCAAGACTGAACTAATGTTCTCCAAGTACAAATAAAGAAATGGATCTTGGGCTTTGTTCACTTGACTTTAGTTTAGTAAAACCCACCTGTGCATTCTTACAGAAAAAACCACAAACTTTACCTGGATATCAACTCACTTTAGTTCATTACCAAATTATTGTAATATAAGCCATTCTTGACAATATGATAAGATTTGCCATCTTTTATATTTATACACACATACACACACACTTACACAGAGGATCATATATCTAAGCTTTTCATTCAAAACACCTAGTAGTTTTGTTTGTTGGCAAAACCTCATTTACAGAAGTTTACAGATTACAGACTGCAATTACCTCTTCCTTGCAACGCCAGCGTAACTGAAAAATTGCGTTGTGTTATTTGGTTACAAAACATCATTTAACAATCATTTATATCTTAATACTGTTAGAAGTAAAACACATATGCAAAAAGTTAAGAAAATTTATGACCCAGTTATTAGAGTACAGCATATTCAGCAAACTCCAGCATAGACTGCAAATACTCACACTGAGATTCAGCCTATAATTTCTCTTAAACTATCAACTTAATTCAGGCGTTCTCAAGTTGGCCTCAATATCCTCCAGTACATTTACAAGAATTGTCCAAAGAAATGCCTAATTTTATTTTTTTTTTTACCTGTCCGAGTGTAAGTGGAACAGCATCTTGCGTATGAGTGCGCCCTATTTTTATGATTTGGGAAAACTCTTTGGATTTCCCTTCAAGTGCATTCTGTAGCTTCTTCAGTCCAGGTAACAACACCTCATTAACCTCCTGGGCAGCAGCAATATGCATTGCTGTTGGGAAAGTGTCATTTGAACTCTGTGAAGAAAGTTCAAGAAATTTATTTACAAGCTTTTCTCACCACTGTTGCTGTAAGATGTGCACGTATGGCTTTCTTCTCTTTATTTTAAAAACAATTAGAAACTAAACTAAGAGTAAGCAACTTAGGACTGTTCCACAAGGCCAGAGTCTTATTGATAAATCAACTTTTTATAACTATACCTTAAGAAAGTTAAACTGAATATAGATTGTTCATAACAACACTGGGACAAAAAACAAAGAAAAATAATTACTACAGTATTTATGAGAGACAGGTAAAACGGATGGATGATTTTAAAGGAATTGTAGGTGACTTTAAAACACCTATGTGTTGCTTTGATAATGTTAAATTCATAGTTCACTGGATACTGAGTAAGCAAAAAAGATCAGGGAGGGAAACAACCAAGTCAGTGGCTTAGTATTTTGTTCAGATCAGCTGAAGTTTAAGAAGGAAGTATAATAAAAACATCTACCATGATCCAACATTTAGAAACTGGATCTATATTTAAGTTCTTTTAAGGCTGCAGGAACAGTCATTGTCATAAGGCCACCTCTGCCCATTCATTATGTGTGAATTTTTCTGTCATGAATGAGTTCAAAGTTTTTAATCTCAACAGCTCATACTGTCACTGACAAACATCTTAAAGTTCATTTAAACCGAAAAAAATGGAAAATTGTTGCCAAAGCTGTACCAAAACTAATTTTTTTTTTTTTTAATTTAAACAGTGGATATAAGAGAACTCAAAATTCAAAAACCCAAAACTTCTGAAGTTCAAAGAAGTATAATACAAGTATAACAACCTGGCTTTTGTTAACATGGTCATTCGGATGTACTGGCTTTTTGCTCCCCAGGGTGCCCCCCATTATCTCAATGGCTCTGTTGCTGATGACTTCGTTGACATTCATATTGGTTTGAGTTCCAGACCCAGTCTGCCACACTACCAATGGGAAGTGATCATTTAATTTTCCTTCAGCTACCTATAATGGAAAAAGAGAGAAAAGTTATTCTATGAGAAAATAAAGTAAAAGCATAAACCTTAATATTTTATAGCTATAATTAAAATCATGCTCTCTATTGTATTTTTAAATCTACATATAACAATTGTGAATTCACACAAGAATAATTAACAAGTTTTTGATGTAATACCAGATATTAAAAGGGAAAAAAACATTTGCTATCTTTTTGAAGATGCTGAATTGTGAAACACGGAGTTACATAGAATTTGATTTCATATTCTACAGTTATAGAAAGAAAAGATTTTTAAAAGGTATTTTAAATTATATCTTCTCTTTCCCAAACAATGCAGCTGATTTTACAAGTCAAACACATCACCCACTTTACCAAATTTTAAAGCCATTTGAATTCTAATCCTCCTGGATAGGACTAGAGGTAGTACATGCTGGTTCTCCTTTCCACAGTTATTTGCTCAAGTTAGAAAAATTTTTAAGGCAAGAGAAATATCTTAAGAAGTTTTTCAATCAGAGCACATAAGGTGCAATTCAGTGTGCTGTGTGTCCTTCGGTTTTGACCGTTTCGACAAGGCTTATCTGTTCCCAAACTTCTCACCATGGGTGGGCTGCTTTCTTCTAGGAGATCAAGATCAAGAGCTGCACAGTTTCGTCATGTACACTGATCACAACTATCAGCTTGAATTAGAGGCACTGAGAAGTCAGTTCCTTTGGGAAATAGTCCCCCAGAAAAGCTGTTTTTGCCAAAGATCATCAGCCATCCACATGCAGTACATGAAATCTGTGTAACTGGACTGTGATATTTCACAAAAAAGAAATTTCATACAGGAAGTTCCAGACCTCTTACACCTGTAGACATAACATTTTGCATAGACAAAGCCAAGAGGTGGCTGATAGTAGCAAACACCTTCTTCCTGTAAGGCACGCTCCTCTTTGATCAACATTTTTTAGAGTCTATTGAATCTTATGCACATTTAGAGAGTTTTCTAAACATGTGTTTGTGATAGCATCAAAATCTGTGCTCAGAAGTATCACACCCGTACATATGAGCCTCAGAAAAACAAAGGATCTATTGTCACAACTCTGAGCCTAGATAACCATCTCTGGATTATCAGGATACATCAGTCCTCCTGGAAACATGTTTTTCAGAAAAGGATCTTACGTATTCCCCATCTTATACAGGGGCAAAGTTCCCACCTCCAGGAGTAACTTGATTCCTTGATGTATCTCTTTAGGTTGTATTAGAAAATTATTTTGTAGGTAAGAGAAAGGATATCATTGCAAGGATGTTTTTAAAACACAACAAAAAAAAGCCCCAAACAACTTTCAGAACTTATGAATCTAAACTAAGTAGCCTTTAGCCACCAAAACTTCTAATCCACCTTTAACTAGGGGAACCCTAGAAACAACAGAAAGAGCCTGGATATATTCTGGAATCCCCCACAGCTATTGGCTCTTGGGACTTAGGCTGCTACAGCTGGTAGAAAGAGGATGAGGCTTCTGCAAATACTGAAATATTTTTAAGCAAGTTAGAACAAGAAAACTCTGTTAACAAATGCTTCTAGATAAACAGATCTGTTGATTTATACAAATCAACACACTTGGTATTACCACACCTCAAATAATGGTCATTTACAACTCTGCACTTGGGTGGCATTTATCCTAAGAAAGAGGAAGATGCCCATTTGTCTCATCATGTCCTCTTTAGCAAGCAAACTGATACTTACAAAGCACAGATTTACTAGTAAGCCTAAATCTGGAGAGGAAATAGATAACCAGTAACAGATAAACTACTCAAACTGCAGACAGTCTTCAGATTACCAAGATCCAATTGCTTTACAGATTAGAGACTTCCAAAACTAAAAAGCTTTGCTTGGCATATCAGACTTCATTTAGTTAAATGAACTGAGATTCTATTCCCCTCCTAGGTTCTTTTATACTGTTCATCTGGTAAGAGTCAACACTATACAAGTAATAATTATTCTTAATAGAGGGGGAAAAAATCACATTGCTTTAAGTATCAAAATGCATTTGAATATTTCATAATTTCTTTAAATGCAAGAAGTAAAATACTAAAATTATTATATAAAGTAAATGATTTCTGAAAAACAAAAGTCACTAATAAATGCTTTTCTCTAGCAATCGGAGAAATGCAATCCCTCAGGCTCCTGTGAAAAGCTTAACAAAAATACAATGGCAGTTCTAGTATTTTAACAGTTTGTTCCTACCTCATTTGCTGCCTGTACAATAGCTTTAGCAATCTTTGGGTCGAGACCATAATCTTGATTTACTTCAGCAGCTGCTCTCTTCAAGATGCCAAAGGCCCTTATGACTTGAACCTGAGACACAAGGGTAAGTTTAAATATACAATTTTCTTCCCCCAAAGGACATGTTAGGAATTTATAGTGCATGTCTAGTTCTAAACCAAACTCCTTCTGATCATAAATCCAGCAGTAGTTCATTGAACAAACCAGAGAGCAATCAGGTCCTATGGCCTATGCTACCATTAACAGTAACATTCATCCAAGCAGTCCAGAGAACAGTATACAGCTTTCTTTGCAAGTCCATGTGTGCTCTGTGCATCAAAAATTACATGCATTAAAATTGAACTGGTTCCATTTCTAAAATAGCCTTTTGAGGGAAAACTGACATATGTTTCAGTACATGGAAAGTCAGTATACGACAAAGCAAGTGCACACTAATGCTCTATGCACAGCTACAAGTGAAAAAGCAACTTTATATCAATTCATGCTCTGCTTAACAACCTCAATAAAAAAAACTATATAAAAGACACAGCAAACAAATTATTCCATTCAGTTTTTCATCTCTGGGAAAATGAAAGACAGATTTCCACTCATCCTGGTTATTAAAAAATTAAGCAACACAAAAATTATTCAAAAGCAATATTCAATTTATTTCAGTCCAACAAAAAAAGGATTTCTACCACAGAATGATATATTGCTATGGAATTTCTACCTTTAATTAAAGTTCAAAGTTGCTTACACTTCCAGCAGAAGTCTAAGAAAAAGGTATTCATTTTCACATCCAAAAAGCACTTAAGAAAGAAATTTACACAGATTCAAATTACTTACTGGCATCCTTTCTGAAACACCTCCAATTTTGAAGTTCATTGTAGATCTTACAGTTTGGGCACCATAGTATTTGTCACTTGGGACCTTAAGTTCACCAAAAGTATCATATTCTATCCTAAAAGCCTCTTGAGTGGACTGTAGAAAAACAAAACAAAAAAAATCCAAACACTGGTAAATGGCACATTCATTTTCAAAGCAAGCAGTCAAGAAAAAAAAGCCAAGAAGGGGGAAAAAACACAAAGCAAAGACATGTGGCTAGTCATAGGTAGTTTTATACCTTTGAAATTAAGATATTTTTCTAGTTTGAGCACCTGTCTCACTAGAAGTCACAACTACTACCACTGTGAAGCCCAGCTGTCCCACTGGTGACAGGCAGCACTGCAAGACTTAAGACCTCGGCTGCCCACTGTCATCCTGATGAGAGACTGTTTCTTCTTTTCTAAGAATTAGTACCTTAGCTTACAATTTACGGAACTGGTGTTTTGTTAAAACCAAACTGTAGCACTATACCTGATGAGAAACTTGTTTAAACATGTTTTAAAATGGCTCTTTGTGGTCCCTTTGCAAACACGTGTTTCTTCTTCCCAACACCCCCCACAGCAACTGTTATCTCCCATGCAGGAGTGTCCTGGGAAAGGTGTCCTGAGGCGTCCCATTGGTCCTTTGTTTAACCCCTTCCTATTGGCTGTTGACCCTTTACCTGATGGTTTTTTCTGTGTGACCCTGAACTCGTGATTGGTTCCCCTTTGACCCTCCTAAAAGCCTTATAAACCCCTTCCCAACAATAAACTCTCTCTTGCCTCCTCTCCACGCCGGTGTGCTGTCTCTGTGCCTGCCATGGAGCCACGTGGGTGGTGGGGGGAGGGGAGGGCACCTCTCCCCTCCAGGCTCGGGGCCTGAAAAACCCTGTTTCTGGAGTCCCCCTTCCCCGTCCCACAAGACGTCGGAAATGGTTCTTCAGATGGAGAAGGAACTAGAGCTGGGCTCCCCCACGTCTTGGATGAGGAAAGGGAAACCCATACCAAACTGAAGAACTAGCATAGTAAGAATTCAGGTAGCATCTGCCCAATCAACATATATGTAACATAATTCCTATTTGAAACCCACACCCTACATGACAATACTGGAAGGGAGCAACTGACTAATCCAGGACCAAGTTACTGACCATTAATTATCCCCTTTGGCCTAATAAACCAGAAACACAGTTGCCCTAGCTGTGCAACACGAAGGAACTGCATCTAGGTATATTTTGTGCACTACTTAAATATGGCAGTATTTCTGTATCATGTATACACCTCGCACATGTTATTATCTAACACAGGCACAGGCAAAATAATTTTAGCTGACATACACCAAAAAAAGTAATTCTTTACTTTTTGTAGAACAACAACATTCATTTGGGATGATGTGATCACATTCACATGCAGCTCTACAAAGATTATGGAACTGGAACAGGAAGCAAGACCACTTTACTCTTCCTCTCCCCACACCTTGGTCAGCCAAGTCCCAGTTTTCCGTGGGAAAGGTATTCATCCTTCCTCAGAGGAGGTTACCTTCTTCCAGATCTTCAGGAAAGGGAAGAAGTAATTTTCAATTCTTCATTGTGGATAGAGTAAAACAATCCCAGTCCCACAGGTAGCATATATACATACACAATGCCAGGTCCTGACCTAACCACAACCCCTAGGGGTGAGCCCTTGGAAAAGCTCTATCAATAGAGTCAAGTCAGTGCTGCAGTACAGTCAAAGAAGAAAACCAAACCCGAGGAACTACTGGGAAAAGCAAAAGATATAAAAAGAAACATTGCCTTGCCACCATGGTTCATCCATAGTCCAAGGAAACAGTTCAAAGAAAGGCAATGACGTTGATAAAAGGTAGGGAACACCTTTCTTAAGACAAGTGGCTTTTTTGTTCAGAAAAGAGGTAACTTGGGCATTGAAGGAAAACTGAGGTCAATAAAAGCACCAGTATTAGCTGTTCACTGTCTCTTCCAATACAAGAAACAGGAGCCACAACATTAGGCTAGTAGGAGTCAAGTTCAAAGCAAGGGAGAGGGAGCAGCTCTTCACACAAGCCACAGGCTGATGAAACTCCTTGCCGGCTGATGCTGCAGATGAAGGAAGTCCGCATGAGTTCAGGGAAGATGAGATAAGCACTCAGAAGAATAAACTGGGTTATTACACAAACCAGGGATGGTGACTTCACCACTTCCCTGGGCAGCCCATTCCAATGTTTGACAACCCTTTCAGTGAAGAAATTCTTCTTGATGTCCAACCTGAACCTCCCCTAGTGCAGCTTGAGACCATGTCCTCTCATCCTGTTGCTGGCTGCCTGGGAGAAGTGGCCAACCCCCACCTTGCTACAATGTTCTTTCCAGGCAATTGCAGAGAGCAATAAGGTCTCCTCTGAGCCTCCTCTTCTCCAGGCTAAACAACCCCAGATCTCTCAGCTGCTCCTCATAAGACTTGTGCTCCAGACCCTTCTCCAGCTCCGTCATCCTTCTCTGGACTCACTCCAGCACCTCAATACCTTTATTGTAGTGAGGGGTCCAGAACTGGACACAGTACTCGAGGTGCAGCCTCACCAGTGCCATGTACATGAAGAGTTTGGGTCAGAATACAGGGAAAGCATCATACATGTTAGCACAGTTCCTACTCTTCCCCAGGAGCCACTTCTGAAGTCAGACTGTTCCTCTCTTTTCTTGGTTCATTGTACTCACTCCTTGTTAAGTGGGTCTCAGTCTTCTTGGACAGGAGCACAGCTGTGTATTGGCCAGAATGCTCTCTCCAGCAGCCCTGACCTTCTGCAGCAGCTTGCCCAGGTTTGCATCACCGCGGATAGCATGTTGCAGGAGGGGAGAGGGGAATGTCTCAGCCTTTTTGCTGACCTAAGCATCATTCCCAGCCAGATGGAGACACTCTGCCATCAGGTATTCCATCAGTCTCATACCAGAGACACTAGCCCTGCTCACTTTTGAGTACTCGCAGATTGTGCACATGATCCAGAAGAAACTGCAGCCCAGCCCCCAGCAAGGGTTAGCTCTCACACTGCCATCCACTCCCTGTATCTTGTGTTTTGGCTGATGCTCTCCCAGACACTGACTTCACAAGAATAGAAAGATTAGTGTGACGTAGTACATCATTCCTGTGTTCTTTAATCTTCTTTATCCTATTTGAGACACTTAGCATTAATTTACATGCTAACAAGAAACAGAACATAGTAAACGCATCTTCAGTATCTTACTGCCAAAAATGTTTAATAGGAATGCTTGTGGGTCTTACTGTACATGTGCACATATTAATATTCCAACAGTTGGGAAATCCCTGTTTTTGATATTTTGGCACCTTGTATAAGCAGACAATGTCAAGCTTTCACAGAGCTGGATAAGCAGAACCAATTCAGTTCCAAGCCCAGCTCTCGATATGATCAGTGGTTCAATCACCAAAAGCATCCACGCTCAAACGATATAAAAAAGATAAACTACTTGTGACCTTTTAGACAAAAAAGCTAGCAGTTGCACAACTGATTCCTCAAACTTACATAATCCCAATGTCAACAATGGTGAAACAAAGATAAATAGGATCAGTGCATACTTGTACAAGTACTTTCTAACAACAAAATCATTATTAAAAAAAATTACTTCCCTAGCAAATTCCACATTACACATTTACAAACTCCAATGACGTTAACAGGTTAAGGTGCTTTAAGATGAATGTAATTTGCTGATTCACAGAATAAGAAGTGACATTAGCTAAAAAAGCAAAGTGCTGTTTTTCATACATACTGAAGTAACTAAACTGTAGCACCCTGAAGAAGCCTTGTCTGAATTTGAATGTAACAAACATGCTTCCCTCACTCCTCAGCCGGAATTCACCCTCTTGAGTGGCTTTATGAGCGGAAGGTCCCAGTTCCTGTATGTAAAGCGGTTTCTGCAGCCACTCTCTGATCTACAGGATCTGCTATAAAATGGTGCATAATCAGCACACTCTTGTCAACCCTCTATTTCCCCACCCCCCTGAGCCATAGAAGCCAAAAGCAGACCTAATCAACTCCAACACAAGCCAAGGCAAACTCCTGTGCTCTCACCTAGTTTCTATCACAGCTACAAGCCTCTGCTCAGAACTACTACTCCTCACCTTTACAAATTTATTTTTTTAAAATTCCCTAAAAAGGCCTGACAAGGCATGCTCTGCCCTCCAAAATCCCTAGAACCCGCAGTCCAAAGCTAACAGAGCTAGACAAACAGAACTGTACTTTTGCCTTATTGGAGGGAACTAATCAACTAGAACTGATTGCACCGTAACACGCCGGAGATACTCAAATGGCACAACTGCTGCAATATTGCTTCCCGTGGAAAATTACACTCTGATTTACAGATGCACCAAGTTTTGGATATAAGTATTTCAATTCAAAGAATCATCGTTTTTAGCCTGTCAAAAGCATTTTCTGAGGCCATCAGAAAATGCAATCTGTGCTCAACTGCTATGCTTTAGCAGATGAAGAATGTTTCCATTTTTAAACATCATTTGTCCTTTATATATCGGGCCGCGTGCGCTTGGCGCAGTGTGCCCGGCTTGGCCCCAGGCACGTGTGCTCGACCGGCCCCGGGCATAGAACGGAGCGAGAGAGGGGGAGCTTCGCCGGTGCGGACAGTGCCCTCGTGGGAGATGAGAGGGGGAGCCCAAAACACACAAAAGAGAAGGACAACTCCAAACCCGGGCAGATGGAGCTCGTCAGCCCTGTAAGGCCATCCATCTAAGAGAAGGTCACTCTAATTAAACCTACGTCCTGAGGACCTCGCTGCCACCATCCAAACTCTCTCGGCCCTGGCAGATGAACCTCAGGTTTAAAGGGTGGGCTCAGTTCCGCGCACACTGCGTCTCACCTAAAAAATCCATTGCGCAGGCTCGAAGGCTTTACCCGCTTTTGCAAAGCCCCGTATCGACATCTACAAATGCAGTCACACAAAGATCAAAAGACAAAGGCATATACACCTCCAAAGGTGCAGTCAAATTAACTCTAGCATGCTGGAACATCAGAACCAGGCTCGATTCTGCAGATAGCGGACGTCCTGAGTGTCGTTCTGCCCTGATTGCCCATGAACTGGCACGTCTCAACATTGACATTGCTGCTCTCAGTGAAGTTCACCTTCATGAGGAAGGCAGCCTCAGAGAACATGGTGCCAGTTACACACTCTTTTGGTCAGGTAAACCCAGAACCGAAAAGCATCTCTCAGGAGTCGGCTTCATGATTAAAAACTCTGTTGTTCCTAAACTCAAAAATCTGCCGACAGGTCACTCTGACCGCATTATCTCCCTACGCCTTCCACTCCACAACAAGCAACACGTTGTCCTCTTTAGTATATATGCCCCAACTCTCCAAGTTGACCCTGCTGAAAAAGATAAATTTTACACCGACCTGCGCCGCCTTACCCAGAAGATTCCTGCAGGTGATAAGATCATTGTCCTTGGTGATTTCAACACCAGAGTAGGAAAGAATTTTGAAGCCTGGAAAGGAATATTAGGCAAGCATGGTGTTGGAAGCTGCAACGATAATGCTCGACCTCTGCTAGAATTCTGTGCAGAACAACAGCTCACCATTACTAACACTATCTTTCAGCAGAAAAATAGTCTGAAGACAACATGGATGCATCCCAGATCCAAGCATTGGCACCTCATTGATTATGTCTTGGTGTGATGGAGAGATGTCCACGATGTCCTCCATACCCACATGATGCCCAGTGCAGAATGCCAAACAGACCATGACTGGTGCACTGTAAACTTAACCTCATTCTTAAATTCAAACTTAAAAGGGGCAGTATCCCAAGGAGAAGACTCCAAGTTAATGATCTCCAGTCAGCCACAGTGAGAAACAAATTCCAGGCTAATCTTCAAACTAGGCTTGATAACCATTCCATGGATTCTACAGATACCTCTCCTGTAACACTCTGGCACCAAATTAAAAACAGCATCCTGCAGTCCTCTGAAGAAACCTTAGGGTTCTCCCTCAAGAAGAACAAGGACTGGTTTGATGAAAACAATCAAGAGATCCAGGAATTGTTGAGGAAGAAGAGAAGTGCTCATCAAGCACACCTTGCACTGCCATCCTGTCACATAAGAAAAGCAGCCTTTCGTCTTGCATGCAGCAAGCTCCAACAGAAACTCCGTGACATCCAGAACAAGTGGTGGATCAATCTAGCTGAAAAAACACAATTATGCACAGACACAGGTGATCACAGAGGGTTCTATGAAGCCCTGAAAACAGCATATGGGCCTACATACCAAGCTCAAAGTCCTCTACTCAGCGCTGATGGTCAAACACTTCTTAGAGATAAAACCTCCATTCTGAATCGATGGTCTGAACACTTTCAGATGCTTTTTCAGAGGAGAAACCCTCAAGGCCATACAGCAGGTGAAAACTGGCAAGGCAGCTGGGGTTGATGGAATTCCACCTGAAGTCTGGAAATAGACTGGGGGGGGCCTTGCACTCCATGCTAAATTTCATGAGTTCTTACTAGCTGTTGGGAACTAGGCGAACTACCATCAGACCTTTGAGATGCAGTCATCATCACCCTATATAAGAAGAAGGTACTAAATCAGACTGTTCAAATTACTGTAGTATTACTCTGCTCTCCACTGCAGGCAAAATCCTGGCAAGAATACTCTTAAACAGACTAATACCCGCTATAGCAGAAGGAATTCTACCTGAAAGCCACTGTGGTTTCAGAGCCAACAGGAGCACCACAGACATGGTGTTTGTTCTCAGACAACTGCAAGAGAAGTGTAGGGAACAGAACAAAGGTCTTTATGTAACCTTTGTTGACCTCACCAAGGCTTTCAATACTGTGAGCAGAAAAGGTCTATGGCAGATTTTGGAACACTTAGATTGTCCCCCCAAGTTCCTCAAAATGATCATCTCACTCCATGAGGATCAGCACGGCCAAGTCAGTTATGGCGATGCACTTTCTGAGCCCTTTCTAATAACCAATGGTGTGAAACAAGGCTGCGTTCTCACACCAACCCTGTTCACAATCTTTTTCAGCATGATGCTCCAAAGGGCCACGGCAGACCTCGAGGATCAGGACGGTATCTACATTTGATATCATACTGACGGAAGCCTTTTCAACCTAAGGGAACTGAAAGCTCACACCAAGACCTAAAACCATCTTGTCTGGGAGCTGCTTTATGCTGATGACGCTGCCCTTGTTATTCACACAGAAGCAGCCCTGCAGTGTTTAACATCCTGCTTTGCAGACGCTGCTGAGCTCTTTGGGCTGGAAGTCAGCTTAAAGAAGACAGAAGTTCTCCATCAACCTGCACCTCAGGAAGTCTTCCATCATCCTCATATCACCATTGGTGAATCAGAGCTCAAATCAGTCCAGCAGTTTAATTACCTAGGTAGCCTCATCTCCTCAGATGGTAAGATTGATGGAGAGATAGACAACAGGTTAGCAAAGGCATATAGTGCTTTTGGAAAGCTTCATAAAAGAGTTTGGTGAAATAAACACTTGAAGAAAAGCACCAAGATCAGTGCTCACAGAGCCATAGTGCTGTCTACTCTTCTATATGGATCTGAATCATGGGTCATCTACTGCCACCACCTGCAACTCCTAGAACGCTTCCATCAACGCTGCCTCCGCACAATCCTAAACATCCACTGGTCAGACTATGTGACCAACACATCTGTTCTAGAACAAGCAGCAGTCACAAGTATTGAGGCCATGCTGATGAGAACACAGCTGCGCTGGGCAGGGCACGTCTCCAGGATGAAGGACCACCGCCTCCCTAAGATCTTGCTTTATGGTGAACTTGCCACCGGCTGCCACATGAGAGGAGCCCTGAAGAGGAGATACAAGGACTCCCTGAAACAACATCTCAGCTTTGGCCATACTGATCAACACAGCTGGTCTACTCTGGCCTCCAACTGCGAGGTCTGGAGACACACCATCTATAATGCTGCTGATGCCTTTGAGAATGCACACAGGATCATCCTCGAGGAGAAAAGACAATGCAGAAAGAATCGTGCCTTGCAGAATATACCACCTAAGGAGTCTTTCTGCTGTGCCTTTTGCAATCGGACATGCCTGTCTCGTATTGGCCTTTTTAGCCACCAGTGCACTTGTGACAAACGTGGGTAGAGACCTTTCCCAAATCTTCGTTCGCGAAGCCCAGCCATGATGATGATGTCCTTTATAACATCGAGTCAAAAATTCTGAAATTTACCCTTTAGAAACCAAACCCCAATACTTTACAACATTCAGCTACAGAAGAACCACTGCAACCACAAATCCATTTCAAACATCCTGCATAGCTTTAAGTTAAGTCATACCATAGTCATGGCCAGTCTTCGCGAACGAAGATCCGGGAAAGGTCTTTACCCACATCTGTTACAAGCGCGCTGGTGATACAGGGCTTTGCAAATGCGGGTAAGGCCTCTGAGCCTGCGCAGTGGATTTTTTAGGTGAGACGCAGTGTGCGCTGAACTGAACCCACCCTTTAATCCTAAGGTTCATCTGCCGGGGCTGAGCAAGCTTGGACGGTGGCAGCGAGGTCCTCAGGACGTAGGCTTAATTAGAGTGACCTTCTCTTAGATGGATGGCCTTACAGGGCTGACGAGCTCCATCTGCCTGGGTTTAGAGTTGTCCTTCTCTTCTGTGTGTTCCGGGGCTCCCCCTCTCAACTCCCACGATGGCACTGTCCGCACAGGCGAAGCTCCTTTCTGCGCCCAGGACCGGGCCCCAGCATAGTACAGCATGAACGTTTGGTTGTAGCTACACAATGTGTAGCTGAAGGATATTTTGTTATGACTACTGCTGTTATTTAAACCCAAGCAACTAACAGTGCACACAGGACAGGTCATATTTCTGACCTGCAAAGAGCAGGTCTTATTTTTCTTATAAGATTGCAGCCTTTCACAAATACTGAGTCTTCAGCAAGTAAATGAAGGTCATGATCTAGAATGTTTTTCTCAGATGATGCCAAATGGGAAGATAAAAAAGGGAACCATCTCATAGGCCAATGGTTTGAGCTACACAGTCTGCTTTGACACCAATTTTATTATGCAGGTAAGATTCAACCGCCATGAAGTTTATTCACTTGTTGGAAAACTTGTTCTTTTAAATGCTATTTTCTACACCTTAATCAATATCACAGATTGGAAACCAATGTTCTCATTAAATTTACTAACTAATTTGGTAAACTGAGGAATTGATAAAATCCTGAACACCCCACTTCCTGCCGAAATTCTTCTGACAGTCTAAATTACCTCGTTTTAAGGAGTGAGCTCACAGAGGTGCACATGAGGCTAAGGCTTCCATGCAACATCCTAGGTGTTATTACCGAGATTTGAAGTTCCTTATTCGAATAGCAGTTTTGTTTCCATGTTGAACTGTGCGCAGTAATCAAATCCCACTCATGTCTGAGCCCAACAGTCTGTACTTGAACAATTACTGCGGATGCCTGCTAGAGGCCACGGGCTGCTCTCTCAGCTAAAAGCTCCCTAGTTTTCAGACGGCCCCAAAGATATTCCAGATATCCGCACTTCTGTGAGGACGCAGCTTCTTATCTGAACCTCAACAGCTCTAAGAAAGGTTCTCAAATTCCTGTGGGAGCAGCTGCCGCATGGTAGAGCTCTGTTAGACCAGGTCCTGCACCAGCACCTTTCCTACCTGACTCCCCTCGCCGACCATAGCAAGGCGGCTCAGGGCCGTGCTCACGGCGTCAATGTCATCCCCCGGACAGCTGCACATCCCGGCCCGCCCCGGGAGCAGCTGCCGCTCGGGGCCGCAGATCCGGGGCCGTCAGCGGGGCCGCAGATCCGGGGCCGTCAGCGGGGCCGAGCCAGGCCCGGCGCTGCCGCAGGACGGATGCGGGAAACGGCCGCGCAAGCCCGGCAGAGAACGGCGGCCACGTCCTCCCGCTGCCGGCGCGCTCCCGACGGAGCAACACCCCGGATTAAACCCCCCGCACCCGGCCCTGCCCGCAGCCGCCGCTCCCTCTGGCAGCGCCAGCTGCCCGTTCCCCCGGGGCGGGGGCGGAGCGAGGGCGGCGGCGGCCGGCGGTGGCACTTAGAGGTCACCGCTGCCCGCTCCCCACCCGGGCTCACCATGGCGGCGCGGGGCGGCGGGATCCAGCGGGGGCCGGCGGGATCCAGCGAGGGCGGCGGCCGGGAGAGCAGGAGCCCGGCAGAGCGGCCGAGGCGGCGGCAGGCGCGGAGTGATCGGTGCATGGTGGAGGGGGGCCGGGAGCACCGCAGGGGTGGGAGGTGAGGCAGCACCGCCCCGGACGAGCGTCACGGGGCCGGGGCGCCCATCCCCGCCGAGGCTCCGCCGCGCCAATCGCGGCCGCGGGGGGACGGGCCGGGACAGGACCGGGATGCCCGAGCGGGGGTGGGAGCCTAGCGCGGCCCCGGCGAAGGGCAGCGGGGGAGGCGCCAAACAGCGATTTTTCCCACGCTGGAAAAAAACTTATAAGCTTGTCCTGCCTTACTGTAACCTTGTCAAAGATGCATAGAGCGTTATTTCCCCCCACCCGCGCCCCCCTCCCCCCCCCCCCGCAACAGCCAAGGCTCCTTCTATTAAAAAAAAAGGCTTCTCCCTTCCTGCCCATGCAAGGGTAGTTCTTCGACATGCTACGTCTCCCCCTGGTGCGAAGTACAGAAACGCTACAAGAGCGAAATAAGGCGTATTGAACTTTTCCACCCAGCACCAGCAACATTTCAACACTTCAGGTTTTCCAAACATTCTTTTTTTTTTTTTCCCAACAGCAGCCAACATTCAGCAGTAAACATTTTTTTTTTCAAACATCGCAAAATGCTTCATTCAATTGCAGTCTGCATAGTTACACTTCCGTCATCCAAGAACTGTGAGTTATTCACAGAAATGCTGCTAGAAACTGCTCTATTAATGCCTTACAAGTTACATCTTGGCACTAAATGCACATTAAATTTAAGTTTGGTAAGCTTTAACATCTAGAGAAGTCTTCTGCCCCTTGATTCCTCTGACAGTAAAGAGGAAATACACACACAGGGCATGCCACAAAAATGGCTTCAGAAGTTCCAGAGTCAGTAAAGATTACTATTACAGTCTACATTATATAGAATATCATATTATTCTATTACGGAGGAAGTAAGCAGAAGCCTCTTGTTTTATTCAATAAAAAAAAAGTATTACAGTACAAAGTTATAATTACTAGTGCATCATTCTTCTTTTCTGAAATGTTACTTATAATCATAAATTATGATGTTTAAGTCCCCACATCACAAAATTCAATATCTCCATTGTGTCTAAAACTAATGCGATGCGTTTCACAGAAAGGTTGGAAGGGCCCTCTGGAGGCCATCCAGCCCAACCTCCCTGCTAAAGCAGGTTCACCTGAAGCATCATATCCAGGCAGGCTTTTAACTTTAGAAGGAGACTCCACAACCTCTCTGAGCAGCCTGCTCCAGTGCTCTGCCACCCACCATGTAAAGAAGTTTGTCTTCATATTCAGATGGAACTTCCTGTGCTTCCGTTTGTGCCCACTGCCCCTTGTCCTGTCACCAGGCATCACCTTTCTTGTTCTTAAAGCATGGAAATTAACTATACATTCACGATAAAAGCACTGTAATTATATATATATATATATATCAGCATATTCAAACAAATACGAATACAAGACTTGTAATGACTTTATTTAGACACATTTTGTGTTGTCCTTGTCAGTTTTGACAGACTGGTGAAAGAACATAAGCTTTCCTGCATTCTATTTTTAATAATTGTACAATAAGCCACAGCAGAATACAAGGTGGAGAAATGTTTAGTCAGTATTTTCCATTCATTGCTAGTGATAACATTGTTTTGTTTTGCTTGTGCTATGCTTATGTACACTGGCCCCGTCTGGGAGAGGGCTTCAAGTGAAATGCAAGTTGCTAGTAGGAGCGGATTGCAGGCGGGACGGTCTGGCAGTCTTCCTCGTTCAGAGTTCTGTCGATCACAGGTCTGTATTTCAAGGTAACCTGAAGCAAAAGGGAAAAAACAACTTTAGGACAAACAAACATCCTGCATCTAAACAAGACAGTCTAGCTAATAGGAATGGCCAAATAACACAGATAACAGAACGACTTGATGGATGTTAAGCTAATTTCTCCATTAATTTCCTTCCATAGAAAATGAACAGTTTGTAACCTACAAGGAACGTTAAAAGTTCCATCACATTACCACTGACTAAATTCCTTAAAAGCAAAGCCTGACCAGAAATGGTATCAGAAGACTGACTTTAAAAAGGCCTTTGAACAAAAGTAAACTTTTGGCTAAGACTGCTAGCTCCTAATTCTTTCATCTAGGAAAGCCCTGCAAATGAGAACCCAATGGGATCAGTTAGGAGACAAAACTGTGTTTCTTTCCATTCTCAGCAGCTATTCAGGAAGTGAAGCGTTCTCACTTGTCCTCAAACTAGTTTCAAGAAAGTTAAAACTGGCTGGAGAGGAAATTAAGAGGATTCAGAACATGAGATACAAAAAAAAACCCCAAAGGTCAAGACTTCTATAGGGTCACAATTCAGTTCTATCTTTGAAATACCATAAAGCCACTATGCTAAACACCAACAACAGGTTTTGTCACCATTAGAAAAGAAAAGCTTTTGAACTAGCCTACACAAGGGGAAACACAATTCCAGTTCAAATAGCAAAGTCACTCAGCAACAAAATAAGTTTTGTGACAGTATTATCATGATTACAAAAGCTGTCTATGCAAGCGGCTGTCTGTTGACAGCAAAAAAGACCCTCAAGCATCATGTACCTTGCCAGATGGGATATCCACGTATGAAAGGGTGTGCTTTCTCCAGTGCTCTTCAAATGGCTTTCGCTGTTGGCCTTCGAGTGGCTTAGAATAGTCAAACTCATCTACCCGTAACTAAGAAGAAAATTAGGTTAGTTTTGGCCAGAAGTTATATCTGCAGATCACTTTAAAACCACACAATTAGTTGCACTTCAATTACAACTGTAACAAAGCGTGTCTCCAAACAGACAGCGAGCTTTATCTTAACACTGCTCGTGTCCAATTTTAAATCCTCAGGCTTAACAAGGGCTTTAAGGTAACTTCCCTTGCATAGGACAATTATTCTGTGTATGCAAGCTTATGTCCTGTTTATGCCTTCATAATGTTATTACTACAGTCCTACTATATTACTATAAAGTCCTCTGTATTACTGTAGAGAGCTATAGAGGTCTCTAATCATTCAGATGCACACACTGAACAACTCTTCTCAAGACTGTTGCCCAGTGTTGCATATATTGGTCATTTTATATATAACAGATAAGAATAGAGAAAGCAGAACAGATGGGACCCCAAACAAATACTACACTAATCATAACACTGAAGACTGTACTTAGAAAAAAATTACTAATTTAAAATAATCCATCTGAGGACACATAACAAGGAAATTCAATCCTACATGCAGGTCACAGAAAATATTTATACCTTATAATCCTCTCTGGCATGGGCACCCCGGGACTCTTTGCGAGCCTCAGCACCATAAATGGTTTGTAGAGCACAAAGCATCAGGTTTTGCAGTTCGAGGGTCTCCACCAAGTCAGTGTTCCACACAATACCTAGTAAAATATTAAAATACTATGGAAAATGGTCTACAAACAATCATTCCTCAATTTACTTCTGTCCTATTGTTGATACTTAGAACTGAGCTACCCAAAGCTCTACATACTGCAGTCACAGTACTCCACAACACTGAATTACTCACATTGCTTGCAAAGCTCAGGAATGACTCCAACACCCTAACAATCATCATGAATCTTAGAAAAATTAGAGTTCTACCAGTCCCTGTTGCATGTGTACTACTGAGACAAAATTACACCATAGATTCTTGCCTGAAACTCAGTCCCCATACCTCATTTCAGACCCTAAGATCTGACTAGATGATAGCTCTTTAAGTATATCCCTAGTAGATCCACACAACAGGGTTTTCCCTTCCTTCCTACCTATCTGAGAGAGGAAAATAAATCCTGCTAGTCATACAAGGTTCTTCAAGATGGACTCAAGTTCACTTACACAAATGTATCTCCATTCTAAGCTATTTTAACTTTTCTTGATGCTTAGCAAGAGTGTCCAAGAAACCCAGTTCTATTTTTAGTGTTAGAAAACATGTCCTATAGCAGTAGTTGAAGAGAAATACATGTGAGTGAACAAAAGGTACATCATCAGTTGTACTTAAATAACCAAGTTCTCTTAAGATACATTGCCAGACATGGCAGTATCTGCATGCACTTTGATCTGCTCAGATGAAGAATGAAAACTAAGTGTTAAGTCTATGAATAGTCTTGCAACTCCCTGGCCTTTTCAGAAGATACTAATGAAGTTCATCATTCATCTTAATATCAGAACAACTTCACCTCATGTTCTGAGAGAAGAGCAGTTTGTACCTCACACAGTTAAATCCAATTTCAGTCTCTGCTTCTTTGAAAGATAATGCAACCAGAAAATGACCAATAAGATCAAGTATTTTACTGATTACCACGTTTAGTAAGTAGGGCTCTACAAAATATTCTGAAAGATTCAAAATGGTCAAAGTCTTCAGCCAAAGTTTCAAGAAATACATAAAGTTTATGGGACAAAAACCCCAAACACCAACACTTTTCCCAGAGAGTACTCTGGCCAAGGTGTATTGTTTGCTATCAAATTACCTCTGTCAAAAGTCTTTAGATGAGCCAGATCACTATAAATTTGGCTAAGTTTTTCACAGCCTTCTTGGAGTACAGAACCAGTACGAAATACAGCAGCATGGTTTTGCATTGCCTGCAACACAGTAAAACAAAATCAGTTTGATA